TCATACAATTTTTGTTAATTTTCATCCATTTCAGTTAAATTTCATACCTTTCAGTTAATTTTCATACTTTTCAGTTAAATTTCATACATTTCAGTTATTTTTTTTATTTCCCGGAGACGTACAGTATATTTATATCCCCAGAGTAATTAAGTTAAGCGGGGATAATTAGAAGAGCTAATTAACTGTGAGCGTATTAAGTATACCCTGAATATTTCTAAATTGATTGTTTTTTAAACTGTATCAATAACTCTACGTCCCTTTGTTTCTCATTCACTCACTCGCTTACTGACGGAGCCTTCAAAAGCCAGTTGATATAACCTTAAAATATATCTACCTAAACTTAAATTAAATGGGACTACGTGAGTATTAGTTTACCTGGTGATTAAAATCGTTAACCTAACCTAACCTAACCTAACCAAACCTAATCTAACCTAACTTAACCCAAACTTAACTTAAATGGGACCACGTGAGTATTAATTTAACTGAAGATTAAAAATGCTAACCTAACCTACACCCAGGTAACATTAGGGTGTTTAAAGATCAGGTGAAATAAGAGGAGGGAGGGAGGGAGGGAGGGGGCTAATCCTCAAGTGGCCCCTTAAGTATTTACGCGGAAGTGTATTTAACTGCATTCCTCCCTCGCTCATCCTCCACCTCTTAAGTTACAACTCACCCTCCACTTGCATCACGTTTCCCCTGGAGCTACACCTTCACTAACACCTGCCTGTATACTCTTAAGAATCACTACAGGTGTGACACATTCTCAGGTAAGATCATGTAGGGTTGGGTTGGGTGGGGTTGGGTGAGCGTTGGGTGAGGTTGAGTTGGGTTGGGTTAGGTTGGGTTAGCGTTAGGTTGGGTTGGGTTGGATTAGGTTAAGTTAAGTTAGTACATGACCCTATACACCCCACACACCCTGGACCCCTTACCTTAAACAAACACTTAAGGTCTTACTTTCGAGGACTGAAGCAAGGTTCATCATAACACTTAGGTCCATCACCATCCACAGACAGTCTCAGTTTACGGTCAATATATCTCCCCAGGTCACACGAATTATGGTACAATTTCTTTATGTGTATTAATAATTATTTAAGTAATGTGGATACTGTATAATGAAGTATCTCACACACACACACACACACCAGATGAGATCCGTGGAAGGACTCGCGTGTTGAACTAAACGCACAAATTACAGTACATTAACAGACAAGAGTAGGTGAGGTGGGCGGCGGCAATTAGGGGAGCAGCAGGTACAGTCTCACCCTCAACACTGGTAGGTGAGGTAGCGGCCGTCAACACCCGGCTGGTCTGCTACTGTACACACTCATAGTTTACCAGACACTTAGTTGAGTTTAACGATCCTTACTGTGTTCATAGCCTCTGAGTCTAACATATCTGACGGAGAAGAGAGAGAGAGAGAGAGAGAGAGAGAGAGAGAGAGAGAGAGAGAGAGAGAGAGAGAGAGAGAGAGAGAGAGAGACTAGGGTCGGGGGGAGACGGTGAACACCCACCCATCGCCTGGCCTACGTCGGGATTTCCAGAGATTCTGTCAAATCCAGGAGGGATTACTCTCTCGCATCCCTACAAACGCCACACCTCCCCCGGCCTCTCTAGCCCTCTTAAAGAAAGGGAAATCCAGATAAAGCGTCTCTTTCACAGTGAACGTTCCAGCCGGTTCATGGCGCTCCAGGGAGGCTTAAACTGATGCCAACTACCTGTTAATAATTCACGGTGCCATCCTCGGGGTCTGAGGGCTGGTGACCATGACCCACCACTCCTGAGGGTTGGTGACCATGACCCACCACTACTGAGGGTTGGTGAACCATGACCCACCACTCCTGAGGGTTGGTGACCATGACCCACCACTCCTGAGGGTTGGTGAACCATGACCCACCACTCCTGAGGGTTGGTGAACCATGACCCACCACTCCTGAGGGTTGGTGACCATGACCCACCACTACTGATACTAAAATAAATTATCCGGTTATGGAACAATTTAACTGTAATTCTTATTTCTTAACCCCCAAACACACACACATGACTGTACATTACTGAACATTAAGACCAAGTAATTAATATATTCAGAGTGGTTATACCCATGAATACTTTATTTTATTAAATAACAAGTGTGTGTATTTCATTATAAGAACAAATACAATGATATTAATTTATCATTCGTAACAAGTGAATATATTCCAGCGAGGTTGACACGGTATGACGTCACTCTCTCTCTTGCTCTAACTCACTCACTCTAAACTCTCTCTCTTGTTCTCATTCTTTTTTTCTCTTTCAGGTTTTAACGCTCTCTCTCAATATCTTTCTCTTCCCCTCTAACTTAGTCACGCTCTTTCAGTCTCTTCCTCACCTTCCCTACTCTCTCTCTCTCTCTCAGACTTCCCCATTCTCTCCTACCCTTACTCAGTTCCCTTCTCTCCCTCGGTCTCTCCCTCCCACTTACTCTCTCTAACACCACTTCTTTCTCTCCCTTCAACTCTCATTTATTCTCTATGCCGCTCATACTCCCTTTTATCCTCACTTTCTTTCACTCTCCTCACTCTTTCCTACTCTCCTTCACTCTCTCCAACTATCCCTCACTCTCTCCTGCTCTCTCTCACTCTCTCCTACTCTCCTTTACTCTCTCCAACTCTCCCTCCTACTCTCCTTCATTCTCTCCAACTCGCCCTCACTCTCTCCTATTCTCTCTCACTCTGTCCTATTCTCCCTCACTCTGTCCTACACTCTTCCTCACTCTCTCTTGCTCTCCCTCACTCTCTCCTATTCTCCCTCACTCGCTCCTACTCTCCCTCACTCTCTCCTACTCTCCCTCACTCGCTCGCTCCTACTCTCCCTCACTCTCTTCTACTCGCCCCCCGATTGCATTAGCGTTATGGTTCAACATCTTTCCTCTCGGCTTCTTTAATTGGACGTCATTGGGTCTCCGTTTTAACCTCTTGTCTTCGTTATAATCTATGGTGTTCGTTATAATCTGTGGTGTTCGTTATAATCTGTGGTGTTCGTTATAATCTGTGGTGTTCGTTATAATCTGTGGTCTTCGTTATAATCTGTGGTGTTCGTTATAATCTCTGGGCTGGTCTTCGTTATAACGTCTTACCTTCATTATAGTGGATTTCGTGGCCACCACTTAAACACAGGTAATCTCTCTCTCCTCCTAATAACGTGTACACATAAGCTATCTTCATCTCACACACACACACACACACACACACACACACACACACACACACACACACACACACACACACACACACACACACACACACACACACACACACACACACACACACACACACACACACACACACACACACACACACACACACACACACACACACACACACACACACACACAGCTTCATTATACCTCATATAATACCTGCATCATTATCTCTTATTATCTTCTTATCGTCGGCACTAATTAAAACACCTGAAAGCTGTTGGTCATGGAAGGCCGTGGTCGCCAACCCTCAGACATGAAGCTAGAGCACCTGACTGTGTATTAGGTGTCTGGCGCAGCGATGTTAGACAGGTGCAGTCTAGCAAGTGGAGTCGGGTAGTGGACAAATGGTGTCAAAATACGAATTCACTTATAACTGAGGAAGACAAACTTATAACTGATGAAGACACACTTATAACCGATGAAGACAAACTTATAACTGATGAAGACACACTTATAACTGATGAAGACACACTTATAACCGATGAAGACACACTTATAACTGATGAAGACACACTTATAACCGATGAAGACACACTTATAACTGATGAAGACACACTTATAACCGATGAAGACACACTTATAACTGATGAAGACACACTTATAACCGATGAAGACACACTTATAACGAGGAGAAAACACACTTAACCACTACAATTAATTACTTTGAATAATACTGTCGTTACCAATAGCCAATAGTTTAAATCTACTCAGTACTAGCAGAGATAACCCCACTCACCTCCCGTAATACAACTTACCTTCTAGTGCACACATATTATACCTGCCGTTTATATACCTGGGAGAGTATGAGTGTTAACCCAGGTGCTCATTGACCAAGGTACCCGAGTCGTTATACTTACTGTGGTACACTCGAGGTCTTCCAACACCACTAATAAGGAGTGATCTTTTCGTGGTGGTGGTTATACTATACAGAGACAAGATTTACAGTTGGTGGATATACGGTAAGTAAGGGCGTTTTACACACACACACACACACACACACACACACACACACACACACACACACACACACACACACACACACACACACACACACACACACACACACACATGTACAGTACACTTGCCCACACACAAACACATATACATACCCCACACTTGCCTACACACATGCACATGCCCACACACACACACATGTACATGTACACCCCACACACACATGTACACGCGCGCCCACACACACACACACACGCCCACAAATGCACATGAACACACGCCCAACACCCAACATATACACACACGCCCACATATATATCCACACACACACACACACACACACACACATGTACACACGCCCGCCCACACACACATGAACACACGCCGCCACCCCTCACACACACACACACATGTACACACGCCCACACACTCATGTACACACGCTCACACACATGTACACACGCCCACATACACACACGTACACACACCCACACACATGTTCACACGACCACACACATACATACACACGTGCACACGCCCACACGCACGTACATATACACACACACACATGTACACATGCCCACACATGTACACACACGCACACATGTATACACACACATGTACACACGCACATCCACATGTACATGTACATACGCCCACATACACGCACACACATGTACACACGACCACACACACACACACACACACACACATGTACACACGCCCACACACACAGATGCACACACGCCCGCACACACATGTACACACGCCCACACATATAGAGGAACAACACAAATCCAATACTCACGTCAGAGTCTGCGCCCTTGTCCCGCCCGGGGCATTTGAAGGTGACGAACTCATGACAACGTTTATGTACCACGAAGCTGCAGACTGTAACAAAAACGCAACCAGTTAGATACAGTCATAAGGTACAGTTAAATCAGTGACATGTATTGTTAATGTTAGGTTACAGTTTCATGGATGACTTTGCTGCCACCTGTAAACGATGCAACCAGTTAGTTACAGTCATAAGGTACAGTTGAAGAGTAACAGTTATCAGTATAGTTGAAGTGAGTTACAGTTAGAGTACAGTTGAAGTGAATTGCAGTTAGGGGTACAGTTAAAGTGAATTACAGTTGGATATAGTTGACGTGAGTTACAGTTAGATACAGTTGAAGTGAGTTACAGTTAGATACAGTTGAAGTGAGTTACAGTTAGATACAGTTGAAGTGAGTTAACTACTATAATAACACCAGTCATATAACTTATTAAAAACCTCCGTCAACTGTAACATCCTACCAGTTACATGTACAGTTAGTGTAAGTTACAGCTGCTATCATAACACCAAACTGTATCAATGTGAAACGAACATAACTGAAGACTGTAACGGCATACCAGTTAAATAGCTGCGTAGAATTACAGTCGAAAGTACAGTTACAAATACAAGTAGATATGATGAATAACAAGAACAGTTAAGTTGGTTACAGTTTGTTGAAAGCCCTCTTACAGTTAATTACAGTGTACAGTAAGTAATAACATGTAATTCAGGACAGTTACAACCTACAGTTAGAGATACAAGATATTAAGAATAACAGTATTTAATATATTTCATTACACAGGTCGACAATGTTGAGACATGAACTGAAACGCATATTTTTGTTCAAGTTTCACGACTTAAAAAAGCGTCGCAGTTTCGAGTTTCAGTACTGATATCAACAGAGGGTGTGGTATGGACCCTGTTGGGGAGTGTGGTGTGGGGGGTGTGGGTGAGAGGAGTGTGGTGTGAGAGGTGTGGTGGAGGAGGTGTGGGTGAGGTGTGGTGTGTGTGTGGGGAGTGGGGGAGGGTGGTGTGGGGGAGGTGTGGGGGTGTGGTGTGAGGGGGTGTGGGGGGTGGGGGGTGTGGGTGGGGGGTGTGGTGTGGGTGGGGGTGTGGTGTGAGGGGGTGGGTGTGGGGGGGTGTGGTGTGGGGTGTGTGTGGGGGGTGTGGAGGGTGGGTGTGTTGGTGGGTGTGAGAGACGGTGTGTGGGGAGTAGGTGTGTGAGACGGTGTGTGGGAGTAGGTGTGTAGAGACGGTGTGTGGGAGTGGTGTGTGAGACGGTGTGTGGGGTGAGACGGTGTGAAGAGACGGTGTGTGGGAGTAGGAGAGACGGTGTGGGGTAGGTGTGTGAGACGGTGTGTGGGAGTAGGGTGTGAGAGTGTGTGGGGAGTGGGTGTGTGAGAGACGGTGTGTGGGGAGTGGTGTGGAGAGACGGTGTGTGGGAGTAGGTGTGTGAGAGACGGTGTGTGGGGAGTGGGTGTGTGAGAGACGGTGTGTGGGAGTAGGTGTGTGAGAGACGGTATGTGGTGGGAGCAGGTGTGTGAGAGACGGTATGTGGTGGGAGCAGGTGTGTGAGAGACGGTATGTGGTGGGAGCAGGTGTGTGAGAGACGGTATGTGGTGTATGTGTGGGGAGTGAGACGGTATGGTGGAGCAGGTGTGAGAGACGGTGTGTGGGTAGTAGGTATGTGAGACGGTGTGTGGGGAGTAGAGACGGTGTGTGTGGAGTAGGTGTGAGACGGTGTGTGGGGAGTAGGTGTGAGAGACGGTGTGTGGGAGTAGGTGTGTGAGAGACAGTGTGTGGGGAGTAGGTGTGTGAGAGACGGTGTGTGGGAGTAGGTGTGTGAGAGACGGTGTGTGGGAGTAGGTGTGTGAGACGGTGTGTGGGGAGTGGGTGTGTGAGACGGTATGTGGTGGGAGCAGGTGTGGAGAGGGTGTGTGAGAGACGGTATGTGGTGGGAGCCGGTGTGTGAGACGGTGTGTGGGGTGGGTGGTGGAGACGGTGTGTGGGAGTAGGTGTGAGAGACGGTGTGTGGGAGTAGGTGTGTGAGAGACGGTGTGTGGGAGTAGGTGTGTGGCGAGTGTCTCAAGTTTCATTACTAACATCAACAGAAGGCAAGAAATTAATTTAAAGCGACGTACAGTAGTGTCTTTTCCAGAGCCCAATAAGCAGCCGTAACTTACTTAAGAGAAACGTTGCTGAGGTAAACAGGACGACATTAAACCTACTTTAGCCAAACTCATAAACGGGACGGCGATAGATGACGACGACATACAGTGGCTGCCTGACGTAGGAAGATATACTGAGGAGGTTCCAGGGCACCATTCAGAAAGCCGGAGAAGTGTTTTATCACACAACTATCCCTGTGGTCTGAATCTCCGTAAAGTCTTAACACAGCCTCACCATCGACCATGTAAACAAAGCTCCGTGTGGTTATGGTCTCTCTCTTTAGTCCCAGTCAACATCATCAAGTTTTGTCTCCTTCCTAAGCATCATCATAACATCACTATATAAGTAGATATTTTCGGTTTTCGAGCAGAGAGAAACACCTTTGTGTTATGATATAATTTGAGACAGGTGACATAGGTTAATTACTGACTCAGGTAACATACTAACAACTTGTGGGATTTACTCTACCTGTATTTTTTACCTTTGTCTGGTCATGAAAAGAATGAGTTACCGCGATGGATCTCCCATTTTGTCCAGGAAAGTCCCAACAAGTTTTAATACAATCGTCCATTCACTCCAGAAGTTTTAACAGCGAAACTGAACGCCTTTAAAGTTAGGAAGGAGGCTATTGTCTGCGTGAGTCACACCAATAGCCGCTCCTCTTGACTTGCATGACAATGAATTTCGCGCGAATGGCATTGTTTGTCACGTGCAGCTTAGCATTATTCTTGTACACCTCTGTTCTGTAAGAGACTCCCTCCTGTCACATTAACCACGACTGTTTATCATCACAGTAACACGACACAAGGACAGTTGACTCACAAAGGTTCATACAATATCTATATCCCTCATAATTGAAGATGTAAAAATGTACCCATCTGGTCGGTCGACTTAAGCCAAAACACCAAAGATAAAGTCTGGAAATAACATTAGAATGACAACAAACTTTAAACTCAACAAATTAACCAACGTTCACAGAGTATCAGTTAGAAGGAAAATTAACACAGAGAATGTTTAAATAAATAACCACACACACACACACACACACACACACACACACACACACACACACACACACACACACACACACAGAAAATGTACAGTTGTAATTACAGCACTTCGGCTCAGTAAAACCCAAATACAAAACACTAGACTACAAGGACGACAACCTAGTTACAGTTAAACTACAAAACCTACCACAATATAATTACAATTTAAACTTTTTTGTCAAATTATCTAAAAAGCGGCGGCAACAGGAGCAATGCATCATGCTCCACCACACACACACGAATTTTTATAATAAACTAATTGTTGGAAACGTGTGAAGTTAAACAGGTATGACTCACTCACGGTGCTGAACATTATACTCGCATTAAAATGACAAAGACCTATACTAAAACAATACAGTTTGGGTGACCTGTGGCAGCCTGTAGTGTTGCGAGGACAAGAGTGAGGCTTCAGTCTATTATCTTACAACAGTCTATTTTCTTACTACAGTCTATTATCTTACTACAGTCTATTATCTTACTACAGTCTATTATCTTACTACAGTCTATTATCTAACTGCAGTCTGTTAACCACACAAACAATAGACAAAACAAAAAACAACGATAACAAGAAGTGGTTTATGTCTGCATTGAGTCGTAACTTGTAAAAAAAAAAAAACCCACACAGGTGAAAAACATCCACCAATAATCAGGTCAGAGAGGAAAGGTAAAAAAATAAATAAATAAAAAAATAAAAAATCAGGAACTTAACCTAGTACACCTTCCTATGTCAGTCATATACTATACAGGTCAGTACTATACATCTACCCATCACTCGCCCGCTACCTGCACCCCACCCCCCGGTAAACACTCCCCACATTACTACTAAATTAACCCTTAACTACTGCCACATTACTCCATCAATAACTATAAATTCCTCCTGAAATATCGGGGAGTGAGGCGGAGGTCATGAATTAACTAGGAGTGTGTGGCGCGGTGTCCCCTTTAAGTGAGGAGGAGGAGGAGGAGTCGCCACTGCTCTCCTGCACCACACCTCACCTACCACTCCCTCCCTCCTTCCCTCCATCACCACCATCGCCTGTGAGTTAACTATGTCATCCATCACTCATCTAAACATCTACCAATACTCTACTTCTACCACATCAACCAATACTCTACTTCTACCACATCAACCAATACTCTACTTCTACCACATCTACCAATACTCTACTTCTACCACATCTACCAATACTCTACTTCTACTACATCTACCAATACTCTACTTCTACCACATCTACCAATACTCTACTTCTACCACATCAACCAATACTGTATTACATCAACTAATACTCCACTACAACTTCCTCGTCAACCTAAACCGAATCTACTGTCAGTTAGCCAAGATTTAGTTAGTGCCCGTCAACAAACACACTGTGCTGGTCTCTATTGTATGTACGGGGGACAAGTATGGGAGGTATTCAGCGATGGTCTGCCCTCACCTCACTTCACCTCACCTATTGCCACCGATCATCTCAGTTTATATTGTCCTCTCAAGGATCACCCTGGCACCCGGGACTACTGTAACCTGGCACCCGGGACTACTGTAACCTGGCACCCGGGACTACTGTTTCCTGGCACCCGGGACCTAAGATATAACAGGTCAACAACAACAAAGACGAGATCAGCTCTAAAACAAAGGTGTAAACAAACACGATGAAATATATACTAATTGGGTGTAACTCCTTGAGACCCTGTGTGACCTACCTCGGCCTGTTGTCAACACTCCCTCCTCACTTCTCTCCCACACTTTCTCATTATTATTCACACACACACACACACACACACACACACACACACACACACACACACACACACACACACACACACACACACACACACACACACACACACACACACAC